AATAATTAAAAAAAGACCTTCTGGTCCGATTGAGCCTGAAAATGCCTGATAAAGGCCCAGCGCGTGGAAAGGAGGGGGGGGGGGGCAGACAAGGCCTAAATCCGAAAACGGGCCCGCTTTAATCCTCTCCTTTAACCCGTTTCTCTGCCAAGAGCTTCCCCCTTCTTTCTTTCCAACCCTCCCTACATCTCTAGGCTTCATTTTCATATATTACACACACATCTAAAAGGAAGCAACTCCCCAAAAAAGAGGAAAGCTGAGACAGAGAGGGAGAGAGAGGGAGAAAAGGTCCTTCTGAAGGAAACAAGGGCTGAGTTTAATTCGCTTTTCAGTTTGCTAATTGAAGGGGAGGTCGGTCCTTGGTCTCCTTGAAGGCCGTTGGGGCGGGGGGGGGGGGCTTTCTTGTGATTTTATTTCGGGACAAAAGACCCCCTGGGATCAAAAGCGGGACAAAGGGCACCTCCAAGGGCGCCCTTTTTGCCCGGGAAAAGCGACTTAAAATAATAATAATTTATTAATAATAATGTTATATTATATATATATATATATATATATATATATATATATATATATATATATATATATATATATATATATTATATATATATATATATATTATTAATAATGTTATTAATAATAATTAATAAAATAAAATGTATATTAATAAAATAAATATAAAAATACAAATCGAATAAAATATAAAATAATATATAATAATAATGTAAATAAAATGTCAAATGTAAAATACAAAATACAAATAAAAATAAAATAAAAATAATATATAATATAATATAACGAAAAATATAAATCTAAATAAAATATAATATATAAGATATAAGATAAATATAATCTAAATAAAATATAAAATACAATAAAAGTAAAAAAATAATACAAACTATAATCTAAAATATAAATATAAATAATATATAATATATAAGATAAATATAATCTAAATAAAATATAAAATACAATAAAGGTAAAAATAATATAAACTATAATCTGAAATATAAATCTAAATAAAATAAAATATATAAAATCTAAATCTAAATAAAATAAAAATAATATAATCTAAACTATAGTCTAAACTGTACATCTAAACTATAAATCTAAATAAAATAAAATATATAAAATATAAATATAAATAAAATAAAATATTAGATATAAATATAATTAGAAAATGAAAATATAAATAAAAGAAAATAAAAATGTAAATAAAATAATATAATTTTTTTTTTAAAAAAAAATCCATTTTCCGGGGGAGGTGGTGAGGACATTCCCCCCTTTTCCCCCCAAACACGGACAAAAAGGTCCCATTTCGAGCCTCTCGAAAGTACCCAAAAGGAAGCAGTGGACCAAAAAAAACCTCCAAAGTGTTACAACTTAATCCGACCAAAGAACGATACTGTTTACTGGGAACTTTGAACTGAGCGGTGTCTCTCCGAGATACATGCACACTACCCATTTTTCCCCTCATGATAGGGAACATTTCCCTCGAAATTGGAAGGGAAAAAGAAAGGGAAAAGGGAGGGGGGGCTTCTTTGGAGGAGGGGCGCTTGCAAAAATAAAATAGAGGGGGTCCAAAGCAGCCTTCGACTCCCACCAATGCTATCTCGAGATCTCAGAGGCAAGGCAACCATCTGGTTGGGAAGAGACACAAACACAGACACACACACACACAAGGCAGCTGGGCAATCCAAGCCACCAAGATGAATTTGATCTGATCTCTCTCCCCTCCTCTTCTTCCTCCTCCTCTTTTCTCTTTCTTCCAAGGTTCACACAATGGCTCTTTCTCCCTGGCACACTCTTCAAGGAACCAACACACAGTCCCGTCTGGGCCATTGGCAAACAAGGCTATTCTTCCAAGCAGAGCGCAGGGCAGACCCCCCCCCCCCCCCCCCCCCCCCCCGCTTCTTTTCCTCTTTTCTTTCTCTTTTTGATGTGGTTTTTATTCTTTCGGTTTTTTCCTCACTCTACCCATCCCATTCCCAAATTATTTCTTTCAGTATCACACTGGCGCTTGGCATGGGAGAATTCCCCTAACCTTCCTAATAATAAAACTAATAGAACAAAAAGAGGAGGAGGGAAAAGAGGAGAAAGTAGAAGGAGAGGAAGAAGATGAAGAGGGGTTGGAGGAGGAAGGGGGAGGAAAGAGAGGAAGACGAGGAAGAGTAGGAGGAAGGAGGAGGAGGGAGAAGAGGAGTTGGAGAAAGAGAAAAGAGGAGGAAGAGGAGGAAGGGAAAGAAGAAAAAGAGGAGAAAAGAGAGGAAGAAGATGATGAAGAAGAAGAGTTGGCGGAAGAGGAAGGAGGAGGAAGAAGAGGAAGGGGAAGAAGAAAAAGAGGAGGAGGAAAAAGAGGAAGAAGAAAAGGAAGGAGAAGAGGAAGAAGGAGGAAGAAGAAAAATTGGATAAAGAGGAAGGAGGAGGAAGAAGAGGAAGAGGAGGAAGAGGAGTTGGCAGAAGAGGAGGAAGGAGAAGAAGAAAAAGAGGAGGAGGAAGAAGAAAAGGAAGAAGATGGAGGAGGAAGAAGAGGAGTTGGCGGAAGAGGAAGGAGGAGGAAGGAGAGGAAGAGGAAGAAGAAAAAGAGGAGGAGGAGGAAAAAGAGGAAGAAGAAAAGGAAGGAGAAGAGGAAGGTGGAGGAAGAAGAAAAATTGGAGAAAGAGGAAGGAGGAGGAAGAAGACAAAGGGAAAGAAGAAAAAGAAGAGTAAAGAGAGGAAGAAGAAGAAGAGGAGTTGAACGAAGAGGAAGGAGAAGAAGAGGAAGAGAAAGAAGAGGAGGAAAAGAGAAAGAAGAAGAGAAAAGAAGAAGAGGGCGAAGGCGGAAGAAGAGGAGTTGGAGGAAGCGGAAGAAAAAGAAAGGAGAGGAAGGAGAAGAATAAAAAGAGGAGGAAGCGACGAAGGGGGAAGTAGAACCACCACTAACATATACCAGTACCCTTTTTTCCAATCTGTGGAAACTAACACACAAATCCGATCCGATCCGAAACAGACGTTTGAATTAATCCGGCGCATAAATCGGATTCGAAACCTTCCCCCTCGAACACAACTTCCATCGCTCTCAAGAAGAGGCTTTCATTTCTCACGTTCAAGGACCTGTGTTTAGGGGTACGTCTACATTGTAAAATTAACGCAGTTTGGCACCACTTTAACGGCTATGGCGCCACCGTAATGAACGTTGTAGTTTTGTCAGATCTTTTAGCCTCTCTGTGGAATCATGCTGGCGCCTCACCAAACTACACATCCCAGGATTCCGTAGCAACCAGCCCTGCCAGTCAAAGCGGCGCCATCCCGCCTTAATCCTACAATGTGGATGCACTTTAGGATTGGTCTATAGACGGGTAGTAAACCGAGTTAAGCAGAGAGACAGCCGACTTTCCATTTCGAAAGCAAACAAGGGGTGAGGGAGAGCAAACTTTTTCCTTTTTGTGGTCAAATTGCCTCTAATTGGAAGTCTTCAAACTTTTCCGAGAAGTGGAAACTCTCTCTTCCCAAACTATGAATAGTAACAAACCAACACTCCTGTTCTCAACACTTTCCAGTGTGGACACACTCTCCTCTTCCTGTAGTATTATAGAACTCCAGAAAACTTAGCTCGTTTGATCAATGCTTCAAACCAAGGCCCCTTCTATACAGCCTTATAATCCAGATTATCTAATCAGATAATCCCCATGATCTGCTTTGAACTAAATGATATGCGTCTACACAGCCATATAATCCAATTCAAAGCAGATAATCTGGGTTTTTATATGGCAGTGTAGAAGGGACCCAAGTTCTCAAGGAATTCTTAGCGCGATAATCCCACCAAGAAACACTCTGCAGCCAGTTCAGCCAAAGTTGCATGAGGTGCATCTGCACTGTCAAATAAATGCGGGTTTGACACCACTCAAGAACCACCATGGCGCAAGGCTGTGGAATCATGAGAATTGCATGCTAGTGATGCACCAAAAAGAAAACTGTTATTCCTAGGATTCGTCTCGGCAATAAAAGTGGTGTCAAACTGCATTCATTCTACAATGTAGACGCACTCTGTACTCCAAAATCCACCTGGAGACTTCCTTCCAGGTAAATGTGCACAAGATCACAGTCTGAAAAACTATCAAATACATTCTTCACCATAGGCGAAACAGGAGATAAAAAATCGGAATTGATCAGATCACATGTAGGGGTGTATCGATAAAAATAAATAAATAAATAAATAAATAATAATAAATTAACAATTAATAATAATTTATTTATACACGTTCATAGAATCATAGAGTTGGAAGAGACCTCATGGGACATCCAGTCCAACCCCCCTGCCAAGAAGCAGGAAACTGCATTCAAAGCACTCCCGACAGATGGCCATCCAGCCTCTGTTTAAAAGCTTCCTCTCTCCCTGAAAGTTCCTATCTCCTTGAAAGACTCAGGGTGGTTTCCAACATATGTATTCAATGCCACAAAGAGACAAGCAACAGGTGACACACACGACACATCACAAAAAATAGGACAACCTATGGTAACTTGGGAGTTGTAGTTTTCCAAGCCCTTTAGCCTTCTCTACCAAAAAAAAAAAAAGCACTAAACGATAGACCCAAGGATCCCATAGAATGAAGCCATGGTAGTGAAAATGGCATCAAACCCCATTAGTTCCACAATAAAAATGTATGAGATGGATAGGAATTTGGGAAGGCTACACTTCCAAGGATGCGATGAAGGTACCACATGGGGCTGAGCACTCTGGGTGCGTCTACACTGTAGGATAATGCATTTTTTGGCACCACTTGAATCGCCCAGGCTCAACCCTGTGGGATCAAGGGCTTGGTCATTTGGTAGAAGAGGCTCCAGATTTGGTCAATCCACATACCTGGCGGTGAAAGTGGTGTCAAACCGCATTCCTTCCAAGGCGGTCCACTTTCCCCTTCTTTCTAGGAACCCACTTTTTCTTTCTGGAGCAAACATCTCGAGGGCCACTTGAAACCAAAGACTAGGGTGCTGAGTACTAGGAAGAGTAAGAGGCGACTCACCTGAGTTTCCGTGAGGCTGAGGCTGTGCGCCAGCTGCTTCCTCTCCGCCCCGACCACGTAGTGGTTCTTCTCAAAGGCGTGCTCCAACCTCAGCAACTGCGACGGAGAGAAGGCGGTGCGGATCCGTTTGGGTTTCCTGGCGAGGGCATTGTGCAAAAGGAAGCTTTCCGGGCTCGTTTCGTTGCCTGGACAGGGAAACAACAACACCAACACGCGTGAAACACAAAGCAGGGCTTCTAAAGCAGGGAGAGACAGAAGAAACACCCCTCTTCCCCTTTCTATTCATCCCATCTTCCTTTATTTGACACCTTCCTTTTCCTCATGGAACAAAGTAGGGGCCCCCATTGAGACAATGGGTTAAACCCTTGTGCCGACAGGACTGCTGACCAAAAGGAATCGGAGGAGCGGGGTGAGCTCCCCTCTGTCAGCTCCAGCTTCTCATGCGGGGTCATGAGAGAAGCCTCCCACAGAATAATAAAACACCTGGCAGGACTGCTGACCAAAAGGAATCCAGGGAACGGAGTGAGCTCCCCTCTGTCAGCTCCAGCTTCTCATGCGGGGACATGAGAGAAGCCTCCCACAGGATGGTAAAACATCCGAGCATCCTCTGGGTAACGTCCTTGCAGACGGCCAATTCTCTCACACCAGAAGGGACATGCAGTTTCTCAAGTAACTCCTGACAGGGAAAAAAAGTCCTGTGCTTTTGGAAGTGCCAATGGGCATGACAGCGAACCTGTCTGTCAGCTCCAGCTTCACATGTCGGACATGAGAGAAGCCTCCCACAGGACGGTAAAATATCCGGGCGTCCCCTGGGCAACGTCCTTGCAGACGGCCAATTTTCTCACAGCAGAAGCGACTTGCAGTTTATCAAAGTCACTCCTGACGCGAAAAAAAAGCTCTGTGCTTTTGGAGGTGTCAATGGGCATGAGAGCGAACCAGCCTGCCTCCCACAGGGTGGTCAAATATCCTTGCAGACGGCCAATTCTCTCACACTAGAAGCGACTTGCAGTTTCTCAAGTCGCTCCTGACACACAAACACACACAAACGAATTTTTTTAAAAAAAAAAATACTTTTACGCACAGTCACAACAACCAGGAGAAAAACAGACCTCACAACCATAGATGCAGGCAAAAGGTCAGGAGAGAATGCTTCTGGAACATGGCCATACAGCCCGGAAAATTCACAGGAACCCAGTGATTCCGGCCATAAAAGCCTTGGACAATATAGGGGAAAATAATTGGGGGGGGGGGGTGTATTATTTTCCTCAGAGAGGTACCATAATCATTATTATCTGATGATGATGATGATGATGATATACAGAAAAGGAGATGAGGGATATTGATTGATTTGATGTCCTTTCCAAAAAACAAAGCAAAACTGTCACTCTATGAAAAGGCGATAATATGCTTGGAAAGCATCCTTTTTAGGGTACTTTGATTTTAAAAGAGAAAGGTTGGAGTCTAAGGACGACAGCAATGAATAATCCCAACCCACCCCCTCCCTCCCCAAAATTGGTTGGTCTCATTCTCGTTTGAAGCGCCAGGCGACATAATTGGTTGGAGACCTTCGAGGAAACCCGTTTCGGGAAACGATAACCCGCTCTGGATCCACACCAACGGGTTCCCAATCCCTTTCCCTTTCTGTTTTGCTTTTTTCTCCCCTCCCACGGAGGACAAGACCCTTAGTCTTGGTAGCAGGTTGATTTAAAAGAAAACACAACTTCTCAAGGAGAGATGAAGTCACTTGCCACTGACTCTTCTTCGGCTGCTATTTGAGGAGCCACAGAACCAAACTCACCTTATTGAATTTGAGAGAGGAATTCATCCATTTCCCCCTAACCAACCCCCCTCACTTCTCCACCACCCCTCCCATCTCAATGACTAGAATGGAATTATCTCTGGGTTGTAGAAACATTCATTTCCAAAATTGCTCTTTTCTTCCTTCTTCCTTCCTTCCTTCCTTCTCTCTCTCTGTGTATCACACAAAGTTTGGGTCGTTTCACCTCCTGGCTGTTATTTCAAGTCAAAGGTGGGAAATCCTCACTTCCTTCTGCTGCCAACAACTGGGAGGAAGGGGGGGGGGAGCATTGGGCAGACAAAATGCTTTATTTTCCACCCAGAGATGAAATAACACACTCTTAACACTGATACAAATACTTTTTTTGTGTGTCATTGGCGATTCTAGTGTGAGAGAATTGGCCGTCTGCAAGGACGTTGACCAAGGGACGCTCGGATGTTTTACCATCCCGTGGGGGGCTTCTCTCATGTCCCTGCATGGGAGGCTGGAGCTGACAGAGGGGAGCTCACCCCGCTTCCCGGATTCCTTTTGGTCAGCAGTCCTGCCAGGTATTTTACTATTCCGTGGGAGGCTTCTCTTATGTCCCCTCCTCATGAGAAGCTGGAGCTGACAGACGGGAGCTCACCCCGCTCCCCGGATTCGAACCTCTGACCTTTCAGTCAGCAGTCCTGCCAGCACAAGGGACTCCGATACATATAATAATAATAATAATAATAATAATAATAATAATAATAATAATAATAATAATAAATACACACAACCTCTGAAGATGCCTGCCACAGATGCAGGCGAAGCGTCAGGAGAGAATGCTTCTGGAACATGTCCATACAGCTCGGAAAACTCACAACAAACCAGTGATTCCGGCCATGAAAGCCTTCAACAATACATAATAATAATAATAATAATAATAATAATAATAATTTATTTATATTCCGCCCTCCCTCCCCAATATATATCATAGCAATCATATGTGTGTGTGTGATTGATATATTAACGTGTGTGCGTGGACTGTGATGTTTGTGTGTATTCATTGTGTCTTGGTTTTTAGACCTGTCCCTGAGGATCTTTGGGGCGGCTAATGCAAAAAATCCTCATTGGATGTAGCCCGCCTCAGCTCTAGTTTCTTAAAGCCCTTCCACACAGGATATCAAGGCAAAAGATCCCACAATATCTGTTTTGAATGGGGTTATCTGAGCCTACACAGCCATATATTTCACTTCAAAGCGGATAATGTGGGGTTTTATTCAGCTGCGTGGAAGGGGCCACGGATATGATTGTCACGGTTTTTCTATGGGCGAGCAGATGGCGACTGGAAGGTGGCATATGTTCTGTATCTCAAAAACTAGAGCTGGTAAGAGGAAACTAGTACCATTTTTTGAATCCGCAGGTCAAATATATCCAGAAACAGAGCTAACTTCGAGGGTGCAAACATGTGTGCAACAATAACAGCAGCAACTACTATTTATTTTAGGGAAATATTGAGATAAGTGCTTGCACTTTACCTCAAGCATTTCTTATTCCTACTATAAGAAATCAATGAAATCCCAAGTTGAGTGGATACTGGGTTGTTGTGGGTTTTCCGGGCTGTCTGGCCATGTTCCAGAAGCATTCTCTCCTGACCTTTCGCCCACATCGATCGATGTGGGCGAAAGGTCAGGAGAGAATGCTTCTGGAACATGGCCAGACAGCCCGGAAAACCCACAACAACCCAGTGATTCCGACAATACAATAATAATACTCTTTCCCCAGTAAGTAAAATGCGTGGGACAAGAAAGGCAACTTCAATCTCACCAGATCCCAAGGGCCTTGAACCCTTTGGCCTCTTCGAGGCTCCTCCAGGCGGTCAACTCTCCTTTCCCCCAAGAGTTTGGTCTCACACCTGCTTTCATTTGATCTCCCTCAGCTTCTTTTTCCAAGTGTCACTTTGCCCGTGGAAAGAATCTGAAGGGAAGGTAGGCCTTTTGCCTCTTCGGTTGGAATCAATGGCGGAGAAGAAGCCAAGAGGCCCTTTCCTAACGAAAGCCGCCTCCTGATCCTAAAGATCTGGGGCTTGGGTTCTCAATCCCGATCCCAGGATCCCAAAGGAAGTTCGTGACTCTTAGGAAGTTGTATCGGATCGAAAAGACAGTAACTTTGGCAATGGGGAAATAAACAACAAAAAAGTTAGGAATGGTGGGAGTTGAAGTCCAAAACATTATGTTTTGGAGGCTCTAAACTTCGCTGTCATCAGATCTTTCTGTAAAAGTCTTAAATTCCATTCAATCTCCTTTCTTCGGATATAAATAAAATAAAAATATTGGGGATTTTAAAGCAGGCGGGGGGGGGGGGGGGAGTAAAAACCAGATGCCAAGTTTCAGTGTCTTTCTCTCAGCTTTCGGTTTCTCTCTTCCTGACTTCACCCCCTTCTTCTGATCCAGACTCTCTGCCCCCCTTTTGATTCGGTTTCCAAGCCAGGCCTCTTTTGCTGGGTAATTTATGGGCCGCTTTGCTGTCTCCAGCTCCGCAGCTAGGCCACGATTTCAGCTGGGAAAATGTCCGAAAGGAAGGCGGAAAAAAGACCGGATCGTTGCGTTATGGACTCCAGGGTGCTATTTGCCCCCTTCTTGGGGTGCTGTCTGTCTCTCCTGAAATAGGGGGACGAATCTTAGAGCCTCTAGACCCCTATTTCCACCCCAAACCCTGGCTTCTGTTTCTCTCTCCCCGGCAGTGACAGTTCTCTCAACTTCCCAAGAACTCAGCAGGGAAGAGAAACCAAATCTAGAGACTGGGAATGAGTCCCCATCGATCCATTACTTCCAGCGGAAACAAATAGATTTCAAGGGTTTTATGGGGGGGGGGGGGGGTTAGGTTCCCTTCAACGACCACCACCTTTATTATTTCTCCCATTTGACCCGACGAATTCCTGCCTGGAGTTTGCTACCAAACCCAACACTCCCGCTCAGCCCTCTCCAGCTCACTGAGGTCTATTAGGGCAGCTAATAATAATAATAACAATAATAATAATAATAATAATAATAATAATAATAATAATAATAATCTATATAAATAAAATGTAATGTTCGTTTGTGGGATTAACATAACTCAAAAACCACTAGACGAATTGACATTTGGACACTACACCCCAAACAGACCAACGAGTGACCAGAGTGACCATCACTCATAACCTCCCCCCCCCCCCAAAAAAAAGAGTGGAAAGGCCTTAAAAACCCCACAAATCTAAATGAAGAAAAGCTAAATGATGATACAGAAAATAGGAAGGAAGTAATGAGGGAGGGAAGGAAGGACAGCAAGAAAGAAATAAAGAAAGGAGAGAAAGAAAGAGGGAAAGAGAGAAGGAAGGAAAGAAGGAAGGAAAGAGGTAGAGAAGGAAGAAAGCAGAGAAAGTGAGAGGGACAAAAAGGGGGGGAGGAAGGAAAGAAGTAAAGAAGGAATGAAGGAAAGAAGGAAAGAAAAAAAGGAAGGAAGGAAGGAAAGAAGAAGCAAAGGAGGGAGGGAAAGAAGGAGAAAAAGAGAGGGAAGTTGGCCACAGCAACGTGTGGCGGCTACAGCTAGTAGTAGTAGTAGTAGTAGTAGTAGTAGTAGTAATAATAATAATAATAATAATAATAATAATTTATTACCCTCCACTCTTTGGAAGGTGAAAATGACCCTCTTTCAATAACTTTGGCCATTTGGCTCGACAAAGTCCAGTTTGGAGCTGTCTATAGACCCAACATCTCCAGCTCTCTCCAGCCATTATGTCCCCCCCCCCTCTTCCCCCAATTATTTTCTCTATGTGGAGTGACAAAAACGCTTACTTGGACTTTTGAAAAGACCCAATAACCCCCCCCCCCCCAAACACACACATCTTTTTTTGCTTCAGGAGCGGCTTAAGAAACTGCTTTTGGTGTGAGAGAATTGGCCGTCTGCAGGGACGTTACCCTGGGGACGTCTGAATGTTTTGCTATCCTGTGGGAAGATTCTCCCAATACCCTTAAACATGCGATGTTTGCGATTGAGGGGTGGGTGGCTCTCATCTACACTATGTAACCAATTTCTGTTCCTGGTTTGAAAGTAATTTCCTGTTTAATGGTGCGGCCTGTCCTGACTTGGAAAATAGTTATACTCCAGAAACTTCGTTGTTTTTGTGTGGAAACTAGGTTGAATTGCTTGAGACTGGATGAGATATCTATTGAAAAACTATGTTTTTGGACAGTCGTGGGCCAACTTGGGCCTTCCTTCAGATGTTTTGGACTTCAACTCCCACCATTCCTAACAGCCCCAGTCGCTTTCCTTTTCGTCCTGCGGAGTTTGAGGTAAACCACTGTGTGAGAGAAGCCTCGCCAGTGTGAAGGCTGCTGCACTTAAAGCAACTATGTATTTATTTGTGCTATGGAAACCTAGTTCTTGTAAATAGTGCAACCATATTATTTTACCACAAAGAAAAGCCTCCTAAGGAAGAGATAACACTGTTATGTGTGTTTTTGTTCTTTTTATCACTGGGTTACTGGAGTTGGGTCACGCAGCTGCTGCTGAGTTACTCTGCTGCACATTTATGAGGAGGGTCTTTTGTTAACAAGCCCACTTGCCCAACAAACATTTACAAGAAAAGGAACGGTGGGAGTTGAAGTCCAAAACACCTGGAGGAAGGCCGAAGTTTGCCCCAAACTATGTTTTAGAACCGATTTGGAAATGGCATTTCGAACTCAGGAACAAACATGGTGTCATCTAGGGCCAAGAGATTCAGATTATCAAATCAGGTAATTCAACATGATCTGCTTTGAACTGGATGATATGTGTCTAAACTGGCATTTAATCCAGTTCAAACCTGATAATCTGTGTCTGTATGCAAGCGGAACAGGAAAAGTAATGGTTGTCTACCTGCAACTGTGTGTTCCTTCGGAGTGGTGATCTCTGAAATTCACATGTATTTCCTGTGCCAGCATTATGGACTAAGGGCCCTTCCACACAGCCCTATATCCCCGAATATCAAGGCAGAAAATCCCACATTATCTGAGTGTGGACTCAGGGCCCTTCTACAAAGCCCTATATCCCAGAATATCAAGCCAGAAACCCCACAATATCTGCTTTGAACTGGGTTATCTGAGGATCCTATATCCCTATATCCCAGAATGTCAAGGCAAAAAAATCCCACAGTATCCGTTTTGAACTGGGTTATGTAGGGGCCTTTCCACACCGCCCTATATCCCAGTATATCAAGGAAAAATATCCCACATTTTGCCTTGTTATCTGAATTCTGCTGGGTTATCTGAGTTCACACTCAGATAACCCAGCTCAAAGCAGATATTGTGACATTTTCTGCCTTGATATTCTGGGATATCGGCTGTGTGGAAGAGCCCTGAGTCCACACTCAGATATTGTGGCATCTCCTGCCTTGATATTCTGGGATAGAGGGTTTTGAGAAAAGGCCATGAGTCCACACTCAGATAATGTGTGATTTCCTGCCTTGATATTCTGGGATCGAGGGCTGTGTGGAAGCACCCTAGGACTAGTTTTGACTATTTTCCTGAAGGCACAGGGAATACCACATGGGTGCATTTCACCGGGACCATGATGGAGAAAAGCCTGCTCGAGAAAGGCCCACCACCACACACCTTGTTCCCCAGCATTCGACCTGCCTGCTTTAAGGAAGTGGCTCTCTGTGCGGAAGCGGCGGGAAGGGGCGTCCCTTCAAGCTTACCTTGGAAGCGGTGTCCCAGGTAGCGGTAGCGGTGGATGAGCCAAGGGTAGAAGGCGGCGGGGTCTCGCTGCTGCGAGGCTGCGAAGAGCGGGTGCGGGGCGTGGGCGGCGGGGAGCGGGTGGGCGCCCAGGGCGTGGGGAGGCGGGTGGGGCGGCGGCGGCGGCGGGTGGACGGGCGCGTTGGCCTCGGCGAAGCTGACCAGGTCCGGGTTGGCGGCGTAGACGCCTCGGGCGGCGGCGGCAGCAGCGGCGGCGGCGTGGAAGCCGTTGAGGAAGGGGTTGACGGGCCCGGCGTTGGCGTAGCTGAGGGCGGCCGGGCGGAGGGGCTCCTCGGCGGGGCCCCGGGAGGCCGGCAAGGCGGCAGCGGGGCTGTCCTTGGCCACCAGCGACTCGATGGTGAAGCAGCGCTTCGGGGTGGGCTGGAACATCCCGGCGGTGGCGGCGGCGGACACGCAGGGCAGGGCAGGCCCGGGGCCCCCTCCCGCCCCCTCCCGCCAACCCACCCTCCTCTTTCCCTCCCTCTCTCCCAAAACCTCCTCCGCGACGTCCTCAAGGTCCCCGAGAGAGACCGAAATCCAAATCCGGTGCCTGCCTGCCGCGGCTTGGGCTCAATCACTTCATCCGGGGAAAGGACAAGCAAAAAAAGTTGCTGCTGCTTCCTTTTAAAAAAATCAGACGCCCCTTTCCTTTCTTCCTTTCGCTTGACCTCTTCCTCTTCTTCTTCCAGTCCCTTCCTTGCTCCCTTTCCCCTCTCTCCGAAGGCTAAGTCCAGCCTTGATCCATGGCAGAAGAGAAGAAGCGAGGAGGAGGAGAGCGCCGGCCCAAAGTGGTGCGAACGATTTGTTAGTTCATGAGCCTAATTAGTGCGGAGGATCACATAAACAGCTTCCTCTGAAGCCTGGTAAATGGCTTGATGATTGGTCGCTATTACTCGCCTGGAGGAGGGGGGCAAGGAGGAGGAGGAGGAGGAGGAGGGAAAGGAGGGAAGGAAGGAAGGAGAGAAGCAGAAAGGCGCTTTCAAGTGCGTCAGAGGCGAAAACTTCTGGCCCCCGCGATCCTGGAGGGGTGGATCCCAGCCCGGAACTGGAACGGACTCTTCTCCGGACCGCAGGAAACCGGAGCAGAGCAGGAGACGCTTCGGCGGAGCCTCGGAGAGGAGTCAGGTGAGGAACTGGGGAGGGAGGGCTGGTCCTTTGGAGGGGGAGGGAAAGGGGGGAAACAGCCCTTCGTGTGTGCGTGTCGGGCCTACTGATAGCCGAGAAGTCTGGGTTTAGAGAGGAAGCTGGTGGAGATGCCTCCTTGCCATAGAGACTAGAGGATAAGTCTGGATTTAGTGAGGAATCTGGTGGAAATGCCTCCTTGTCATAGTCTGGATGAGAAGTCTGGACTTAGAGATGAAGCTGGTGGAGATGCCTCCTTGCCATAGAGACTAGAGGATAAGTCTGGATTTAGAGAGGAAGCTGGTGGAGATGTTCCCTTGCATTTGAGACTGGAGGAGAAGTCTGGATTTAGAGAGGAGCCTAGTGGAGATGCCTCCTTGCCATAGAGACTAGAGGAGAAGTCTGGATTTAGAGAGGAAGCTGGTGGAGATGCCTCCTTGTTATAGAAACTAAAGGAGAAGTCTGGATTTAGAAAGGAAACTGGTGGAGATACCTCCTTGCCATAGAGACTGGGGGAGAAGTCTGGATTTAGAGAGGAAGCTGGGGGAGATGCCTCCTTGCCATAAAGACTAGAGGAGACGTCTGGATTTAGAGAGGAAGCTGGGGGAGATGCCTCCTTGTTATAGAGATTGGAGGAGAAGTCTGGGTTTAGAGAGGAAGCTGGTGGAGATGCCTCCTTGCTATCGAGACTGGAGAAGTCTAGGTTTAGAGAGGAAGTTGGTGGAGATGCCTCCTTGCCATAAAAACTGGAGAAAAAGCCTGGATTTATAGAGGAAGCTTGTGGAGAGGAAGCTGATGGAGATGCCTCTTTGCCATAGAGACTAGAGGAGAAGTCTGGATTTAGAGAGGAAGCTGGTGGAGATGCCTCCTTGCCATAGAGATATAATTGCAGAGTCCCTCTCTGAGGTCTGTTTGGATGCCTTTCATTCAGGGCGACGCCAAGCCACTTCCAAAAGGATCTTGGGGAGTTCCCTCAGCCAACCGGTTTCTCTTCTCTTCCAAACCGGAAGTAAACACAAAACTTGAGCAGGTTGCAGCTAGTCCTTGTTTGGATCCCTCCTGGGCTTCCTCTTTCCTTGTCGAAGCCCAGACCGAGCAAAGGCCAGCTGGGCGACCCTTCCCCGACTCCGGCCTCGCTGTCCGTATCCGCGTTTTCGCTCTCGCCCGCGGATTTTTTAAGGGCCGCGTCCTCGCCCTCCCATTGGCTGCCACGGAGGAGTCGTGACGATCCCGTCCTTCCTCGGGGCCGCCTGCTGCTTACTGTTTATTGGCAGTTAAGGATCTATTATCTATTCATCAGCCTCCTATTTTTACCAATTACCACTCGTCTCAAGTGAAGCACCAGCAGGTATTTTTTCACGTTTACAATTAATGATTAAAGAAAGGAAAGGGAAAAAGGAAAGATCTGGCGTCTTTCTCATCCGCGAGGAGGCTGTGATTTGGGTTTTTTGAGGGGAGGGTGCTGGCAGACGCATCTCCTCTGGGGCTTGTCCTGTTTCAAAGCAACCCAACTCCCCCCCCCCCCCCCCCCCCCCGCTTTTTGGCATTGTTTACTCTCTCAGGCCCTCCCCCTTCCATATAATAAGATGTATTCCAAGGTATAGTTCCAAATAATTCCGTTCAAACGGCACTACATGTCTATGGGTCTACACGAGGCGTGGACAAACTTGGACTTCAACTCCCACCACTCCTAACAGCCTCAGGACCTTTCCTTTTCGTCCTGAAGAGTGTGAGGTTAACCTCTGTGTGAGAGATGCCTCATGTGAGGCCCTTTCCTTTTTCCCCTCAGCCGCTAGAGCTTTGTAGTAAAATAATGTGGTTGCACTATTTACAAGAACTAGGTTTCCATAACACAAATAAACAATACACAGTAGTTTTACATGCAGCAGCCTTCACAATGGAGCTTTCTCCCACCAGGCTTGTCTCACACAGAGGTTAACCTCACACTCTTCAGGACGAAAAGGAAAGGTCCTGAGGCTGTAAGGAATGGTGGGAGTTGAAGTTCAAAACACCTTGAGGTCCCAAGTTTGCCTACGCCTGGACACTGACTATAGAATACATTATTTGGCATTGTAGATCAAGGCTTGGAGATTGTATATATAATTGAGTTGTCACAGCCCAAGACCTCGAAATATCCTGTTAGGATCCGACTCTCTTTCTTCAGCATCAACGATGAAATTATGGAAATCAAGAGAATGAGGAACACTGATTTTTTTTTACTCGTGTCAGGAGTGACTTGAGAAACTGCAAATCACTTCTGGTGTGAGGGAATTGGTCGTCTGCAACCAGAGGACTCGTCTGGTATGTTTTTAGGCTTCTCTCACGTCCTAAGTCAAGAGAATAAGGAATAGAGAACACTGCGGCTTTTTCTCTATGTCAGGAGCGACTTGTGAAACTTCAAGTCGCTTCTGGTGTGAGGGAATTGGCCGTCTGCAATGACGTTGCCCAGGGAACTCCAGGATGTTTTACCATTCTGTGAAAGGCTTCTCTCATGTCCCCGTATGAGAAGCTGGGGCTGGCAGAGGGAGCTGAGGACATTTATTATTATTATTATTATTATTATTATTATTATTATTATTATTATTATTATTATTATATGCACATTGCCTCTTTCTGTATGTTTGGAGATGATATTCGGTCATAGGCTCAACAGTCTTACATATATGCAGACGTATGTGCAGACAAAAAGAGTATAGCGCTTTCACTCTCATTGGCATCTTCAAAAGCACAAGGTGTTTTGTGTGTGTGTATGTGTCAGGAGCGACTTGAGAAACTGCAAGTCGCTTCTGGTAGGAAAGAATGGGCCGTCTGCAAGGGCGTTGCCAAGGGGACTCTGGGATGTTTTACCATCCCGTGGGAAGCTTCTCTTTATATATGGGAAACTGGAGCTGACAGATGGGAGCTCACCCCACTCCTCAGGTTCGCTCTCATGCCCATTGGCACCTCCAAAAGCACAGTTTTTCCCCCCAATGTCAGGAGTGACTTGAGAAACTGCAACTGGTGTAAGATAATTGGCCTTCTGCAGGGACGTTCCCCAGATGAGGTATTATCCTGTGGGAGGCTTTTCTCATATCCCTGCATGGGAAGCTGGAGCTGACAGACGGAAGCTCACCCTGCTCCACGGGTTCCAGACCCCCTGATGTTTTACCATCCTGTGAGAGGCTTCTCTCATGTCCCCGCATGGGAAGCTGGAGCTAACAGACAGGAGCTCACCCTGCTCCAAGGATTCGAACCGCCTACTTTTCGGTCAGCAGTCTTCCCGACAAAAGGGAACATAAATAAGAGTTTCTATGCGACTAAAAGAGTTGCTAGAGTGTACATTTCAAACTCTTCTTTCTCTTGGAAGTGAGAGTGTGTTTAGGAGACTTTCCAGTGTTGTCTGCCCAAGGAGGCAAAAGTGGTTGTGCTTGCTTCCTCTGCTGGGGGCACTTTCTTCAATCCATTTCCTGGATTTAATACTATCGTGGGTTGTTTTGATCCTAAGGATGAGCTTTGCTGCCTCCTGCCACGCGTCCTAGGCCTGGTTAAACGTGGTATTTAATTTAATGGGGGGCCTTGCGGAGAAAACGGGAGACCTTTGGCCCCTTTCCCCAGCGCCGCTGCCTCCCTTCAAGGAGCGAGTTCAAGTCCGTGGCAGGATTAGCCGTAGAAAAAGCCCACGTCCACGCGCCCGGGCAGGTGGAAATATCCCCCAAAAGGAGGGGGAAAGAGGGGTTTTGGGAAGCAGGCTCCATGTGGCCCCTTTGGGCCGAAATCCCCCCTCTTTCAGGGAACAAAGAGGTCCCAACGCGGGCCAATCTCGCCCCACTCTGCTAGACGAGGAATCGGACACGGCGTTATTTCTAAGCAAGGCCTCCTTCCTTCCTTCTTTCCTTCATGTGTGGGAGGGCGTTAATCCCCATTCGGAACCAAAGGCAGATCCTCAATCCATTTCCACCAGGTTGAAATGAGTCCACCCGTGGATTGGCGTTTTATTTTATTGCGCGATACATTACTTCGCACCACCCGTTTATTTATTTTTAAATCTTCGAAGCTGGGAAAAGAATGAAAAAAGAGTTTTAGATTTTGGAAACACAACAATGTCTGTATTTAAGCCCTTCCAGATTGTCCCACGAAGAAGAGTTTATGGAGAACGAGTTCCTTCTCAGGCCCCTTCCACACAGCTGATTCAAATCCCACATTATCTGCTTTGAACCGGGATATATGGCAGTGTAGACTCAGGTAACCCGGGTCAAAGCAGATTGTGGGATTTTCTGCCTATCTATATTTTCTGGGTTATAGAGTTGCGTGGACGGGCCCGCAGTCACATTGCCATATAAACCAGTTCAAAACTGATAATGTGGGATTTTGTGCCGTGATATTCTGGGTTATATGGCTATGTGGACGGGCCCACAGTCACATTGCGATATAACCCATTTCAAGGCAGATAATGTGGGATTTTCTACCTTGATATTCTGTGTGGACGGGCCCCCAGTCACTCTGCGATATAATCCACTTCAATACAGATAATGTGGGATTTTCTGCTTTGTTATTCTGGGTTATATGGCTGTATGAAAGGGCCCCCAGTCACACTGCGATATAACCCACTTCAAAATAGATAATGTGGGATTTTCTGCTTTGTTATTCTGGGTTATATGGCTGTATGGAAGGGCCCCCAGTCACACTGCGATATAACCCATTTCAAAGCAGATATTGTGGGATTTTCCGCCTTGATATTCTGGGTTATATGGCTGTATGGAAGGGCCCCGGTCACACTGCGATATAACCCATTTCAAAGCAGATATTGTGGGATTTTCCGCCTTGATGTTCTGGGTTATAGGGTTGTGTGGACGGGATCCAAGTCACACTGCTATATAACCCACTTCACAGCAGATATTGTGGGATTTTCTGCCTTGTTATTCTGGTTATGTGGATGGGCCCCAAGTGATTTCTCTCTATGGCTCGGGATTTGCTATTTTTCCACCCAAGCAGCATGGCAGAGAGGCCCCCCCATCTACACTGCC